CACCACAAAAATTTAAAAATTTTTCCTTTTTTTTTTTTTTTTTTTTTGAGATCTGCTCCCACAATCTGTGATGGAGAGGGGAAGCAGGAGATCTTTCTGTATCTTCACTAATGATGCAAACATAATTTGCTCCCAGCAGCTGCTCAGGCAGGGTCCGACCTGTCACGTTTTGTGGGATCATTACACCAATCTCCAGTTGCATCCCAGGAAACCTGGAGCAGGGAGAGGAGCTGCTCTCATCTGCTCTCGTTTAACCGTCCCTGGGATCCTTATTGACTGCAGTGGTGGGGTCCCAGCTCTCTCTGGTGTCCTTAAGTGACACAGAATTGGGAGTTGCCCTGAGGATTCAAACCCCATGGGCTGAGACCCGCCACCTGCCCCACAGCCATATCCCCCCGAGGCATGAGGAGCGCTGGGGAGGTGGCACGGCTCCAGCCCCACACAGCAGAGCCGAGGGCTGGTGATGTCCCACGGCACGGTGAGCCCTCACCCTCCTTTTGCCCATCCTTATCTCCTCCTGCTCTCCTGCAGATGAGCCTCAAATCCCTGCAGCAGGGAAATCTCAGCAGCCACCATGCTCCTTCTCTTGGGATTTCCCAGTGCCTACGGAGCACGGGTGACCCTCTGCCTGTGCTTCATGTTCATTTACCTGCTGGTGGTGCTGGGGAACCTGCTCATCACAAGCCACATCTGGCTGGATGCCCACCAGCACTCCCCCACAGATTTCTTCCTGGGCCACCTCTCCTTCCTGGACATTTGCTACTCCTCCGTCACCCTCCCTAAGATCCCTGGAGACTCCTCCTCATTGCAGAAGACCATCTCCTTTGTGGGCTGCATCACACAGATCTACTTCCTTTGCTCTGGGGGCTCCGAGTGCGTGCTCCTGGCTGCCGTGGGCTACGGTGGGTACTGGCCACCTGCCATCCCCCCACTGCCCGGCGCTTGTGAACATGGAGATGTGCCATTGCCCAGTGGCTGTTCCATGGCTGAGCAGCTCCTTCTCATCTCTGATCCAGGCCTTCCTCACAGCCCTCCCCTGCGGCAGGTCCAACGTGATCAACCCCTTGTTCTGTGAGATGCCCTTCTTGCTGAAGATGTCCTGCAGTCCTAATGCTCCTCTCAATGAGACCGTCTCACGTGCTTTGGCTGGGACCATTGTGATGGACTGTCTCCTCCTCGCACATTCACATCATGGGGACTGTCCTCCAGAAGGCAGCAGGGACACAGAGGCCCTTTGCCACCTGCACCTCCCGCCTGACTGTGGGGTCCCTGTTCTTCGGTGCTGGGTCCGTTGCATACCTGGTGCCTCACTCCAGCGGATCCAAGGAGACGGACGAGGCCCTCACCCTGCTGTGACCCCCACGCTCACCCCCATCATCTGCAGCTTGAGAAACAGCGAGGTCAAAGGGGCCACCAGGAGAGCCCTGCACAGGGTGCGTTACAGATGCCCACCAAGGGTGCAGGCATCTTCCTGAGTGACCTCCACCCTCCCCATGCCAGGGACGCAGTTCTCGGGGACCCAACACACATGAAGGGGTCTGGGACTCCTGGTCGCAGCGGTGTCAGGGTGGGGGCACATCCGGCAGCTCCTCACTGTCCCTCACCAACACATCCAACACTCAGACCTGCTATTGCCCGGTGGGGACCCGGGACTGGGTGCTGAATTCACAGCATCCTCTCCCTTTGTGCCTGAAGGCTCCTGGCACAGCTGGCCTGAACTCGCAGAGCCAGCTGCAGAAAACCCAACTCATGCAGGCACAACCCTGGGCAGGTGAGCTGTGTCTCATCCCACCTCAGGAGCTGGGTACCATCCTTCCAGTGTGGAGCACCACAGAGAGCTTCACACTCTTGGAGTGGTGGCAGAAGGATGGCACACAACGCCCTCTGGAGACCTGAATAGACTAGGAGGGGATTTCATAAAATTGTGAATCATCTGGCCGCAGTTCTCCCAATAAGTAATTTTGGGAACTTTTTTCCTGAGAAATAGGTATTGCCCAGATAGAGAAGCTGTGCTGGCTGTCTACACGCTGCCTTTGATGTGACGGTAACCTCGGTAAACCTTATTTCTTTTAATCATTTATCTGCACCAGAGCTTTGTCAGGCTTTCTGGAAAGAGCTTTTATTCCTAAGCAAAGCCCTTTCCAAGGCGAAACACTATGCAAAGCACAGCAGTAAAGCTTCGCTGTTCGCATCTCCTGTTAAGTGGTGGATAATCTTGTCTGGGCTGGACTTGCAGACACTGCAGAGCCGGATGTCTTTCTCTTAATGCAATAAAATATGTATGAGTAGGAAAACCATTCGCAGGGGATTGGTCTTTGTAATTTCAGGAGTCAAAGCTAACCCTGGGAACAGAGTGCTGCATCCATGTGCAAAATCATAGAATCATAGAATCACAGAATAGTTTGGGTGGGAAAGGACCTTAAAGATGACCTAATTTTACCCTCCTTCCACCTCCCACTAGCCCAGGTTGCCCA